TTTTTTTTTGAATCCTCGCCTTTTCAAAGAGGTTCTGACCGTACTATGATTGTGAGATTTAGTTTGTTTTCGAATTTTCTAGGTCTGTTATAATTTCGACATACTGCATGGTACTTCTCTGTTTGTAATGTAATCTCGTAAACCGGTTGGATGTAGACATCGAACTGTTTATGCTAAGTAAAACTTTTGATTCTAAAGTCCATACGAAGCGGATAGTTTCACCTACATATACCTTAGTACCCGCAATATACAGTGTTCACCCGTGTCATCTTTTGCCGTAGGATGACGTCAAGCATACAGTCCACTTCTTTTGACACAAAAGTACCATTGGCCCTGCCTAACGTTGACATGCCGCCTTCAATTCTAGTTCTTGGCATGGCAGGTTCAGGGAAGACTTCATTTGTCCAGGTGAGTTCATTTCTATGGAACCACTCAAATGAGACGTTAAAAAAGTCAGTACTACCCTATGTTTGTGCCCCAGAGAGGTTCCCATAGGTAACCATCAAAGTGGCGGTTTTGATTGTTTCAACACATTGACTCCAGCAAAGTGATGATACTTGTTCGAAGTTAACATGTTAAGACGATCGTAAGGCAGCCACATTAATGGTACCTATGAGAACCTCTCTGGGGCACAGATGATATGTAGATTCGAATGAGCTATGTTGTCGCGCAAACCAACATGGAAAGATCTTTCCATCTATTGCGTATTGGATTCAAGGAGCCATACTAAATAAACATACGGTATTGGCTTCTAGCGCTGTGGCAACGATCCTAGCCCGCGCGATGTGTGACCATCAACACTTGCAGTTGCACAGACTTTCAACCATTAGGCTCGTATGCCTGAAACGAGCCCCTAGCTTTAGAAGAGCGGCACCAACGCTCGCCGCGTCTTACTAACTGGAGCGACGCAGGGATTTTTATGCATCCGGGCTTAAGCACTACGCTTTCCAGAGGCTCACTGCGTTGTTGCATGCAAAGAAAAGGCCACCTTATGTGATTAATCTTGATCCAGCTGCAGCGAATGTAAGATTTTTTTTTCTGATATACATCATTTTTTTGCTGTTCTGTTCGCTTTTTAAGGTACCATATCCGGTCAACATCGATATAAGAGACACAGTAAAGTATAAGCAGATTATGAAAGATTACGGTCTTGGCCCAAACGGTGCTATTATCACAAGCTTGAATTTGATGTGCACGAAATTTGATCAGGTGGGAAGTTTGGTTTTACTACAATTTTTCAGCAGATTTTTAAGGTACTAACAATGATACGTCAGCGTTGCAATCAGTATAGCCTTTGTTTGATTGACACTCCCGGCCAGATTGAGGCCTTCACTTGGAGTGCGAGTGGCTCCATAATAACTGATTCTTTGGCTAGCAGCCATCCTACTGTAGGTCCATGTTGATTTATGCTGTAATATGGCAATTGCGTTGATGACTCTGTAATCTGCATTTGTACTTGTATACCAGAATATGTTATGCGAGCATAGCATGGAGTAAAGAAATGCTACAGTGGATGACCACTAAACAATTTAGGTTGTCGTGTATGTGGTGGATTCCGCGAGAGCAACGAATCCGACAACCTTCATGTCAAATATGCTTTATGCCTGTTCGATTCTGTATAGGACAAAGTTGCCATTTATTGTCGTTTTCAACAAGGTTTGGTTCACCAACAGCAACTCATTTATGCTTAGAACTCTTAAAGGCACCGTCCACCCTAAGTTGAAGATCTTGAGCTTTTGACAGCATATGAGAGTAGAGCCTCTTATAGAGCCAGTGCTCAA